TAGTGTTGCTGCTGGTCTCGGTCGTGCTCGGCACACTCGTGGTGCTGCTCACGGTCGTACTGCTCGCCGACGTGCTAGGCGTAGTGGTGCTGCTGGTACGGGTCGTGCTCGTCACACTCGTGGTGCTGCTCGAGGCCGTACTGTTCGCCGACGCGCTGGGTGTGACGTTGCTGCTGACCCCGGTCGTGCTCGTCACAGTCGTGGTGCTGCTCTCGGTCGTACTGCTCGCCGACGTGCTGGGCGTAGTGGTGCTGCTGGTCTCGGTCGTGATCGTCATACTCGTGGTTTTGCTCTCAGTCGTACTGCTCGCCGACGTGCTGGGCGTAGCGGTGCTGCTGGCGCCGCTCGCGCTCGTCACCCTCGTGGTGCTGCTCTCGGTCGTACTGCTGACCGACCCGCTGGACGTAGTGGCGCTGCTGGTATCGGTCGTGCTCGTCACCCTCGTGGTGCTGCTTTCGGTTGTACTGCTCGCCGACGTGCTGGGCGTAGTGGTGCTGCTGGTCTCGGTCGTGCTCGTCCCCCCCGTGGCGTTGCTCTCGGGCGTACCGCTCGCCGACGTGCTGGGCGTATTGGTGCTGGTACCAGACGTGCTCATCATCCTCGCGGTGCTGCTCTCGGTCGTACTGCTCGCAGACGTGCCAGGCGTCGTGGCGCTACTGGTAGCGGTCGTGCTCGTCACACTCGTGGTGCTGCTTTCGGTCGTACTGGCCGCCGACGCGCTTGGCGTGGTACCAGTTGTGCTCGTCCCGACCGTGATGCTGCTGGCGGTGGCTCTGCTCGCCGACGTGCTGGGCGTAGCGATGCTGCTGGTATCGGTCGTGCTCGCCACACTCGTGGAGATGCTCTCGGTCGTACTGCTCGCCGACGTGCTAGGCGTAATGTTCCTGCTGGTCTCGGTCGTGCTCGTCACCCTCGTGGCGCTGCTCTCGGTCGTACTGCTCGCCGACGTGCTAGGCGTAGTGGTGCTGCTGGTCTCGGTTGTGCTCGTCACCCCCGTGGTGCTGCTTTCGGTCGCACTGCTCGCCGACGTGCTGGGCGTAGAAGTGCTGCTACTCTCGGTCGTGCTCGTCACACTCGTGGTGCTGCTTTAGATCGTACTGCTCGCCGACGCGCTGGGCAGGGCGGTGCTGTTGGTATCGGTTGTGCTCGTCCCGAAAGTGATGCTGTTGTCAGTGGTTCTGCTCGCCGACAGGCTGGACGCAGTGATGCTGCTGGTCTCGGTTGTGCTCGTCACACTCGTGGAGATGCTCTCGGTCGTACTGCTCGCCGACGTGCTAGGCGTAGTGGCGCTGCTGGTCTCGGTCGCGCTCGACACACTCGCTTTGCTGCTCTCGGTCGTATTGCTCGCCGACGTGCTTTGCGTAGTGGTGCTGCTGGTAGGGGTCGTGCTTGTCACAGTCGTGGCGCTGCTCTCGGTCGTACTGCTCGCCGACGCGCTGGGCGTGGCGGTGCTGCTGGTATCGGACGTGCTCGTCCCGAACGTGATGCTGCTGTCGGTGGTTCTGCTCGCCGACGTACTGGGCGCAGTGATGCTGCTGGTCTCGGTCGTGCTTGTCACACTTGTGGTGCTACTCTCAGTCGTACTGCTTGCCGACGTGCTGGGCGTAGTGATGCTGCTGGTCTCGGTTGTGCTCGTCGCACTCGCTTTGCTGCTCTCGGTCGTACTGCTCGCCGACGTGCTGGGCGTACTGGTGCTGCTGGTAGGGGTCGTGCTCGTCACAGCCGTGGTGCTGCTCTCGGTCGTCCTGTTCGCCGTCGCGCTGGGCGTGGTGCTGCTGGTACCGGTCGTGCTCGTCACACTCGTGGTGCTGCACTCGGACGTACTGCTCGCCGACGTGCTGGGCGTAGTGGTATTGCTGGTGCCGGCTGTGCACGTCCCACTCGTGGTACCGCTTCCGGTCGCACTGGTCGCCGACGTGCTGGGCGTAGTGGTGCTGCTGGTACCGGTCGCGCTCGTCACACCCATGGTGCTGCTGTCGGTCGTACCGCTTGCCGACATGCTGGGCGTAGTTATGCTGCTGGTACCGGTCGTGCTCGTCACCCTCGGGGTGCGGCTCTCGGTCGTACTGCTCGCCGACGCGCTGGGCGTAGTGGTGCTGGCGGTCTCGGTCGTGCTCGTCACCCTCGTGGTGCTGCTCTCGGTCGTACTGCTCACCGACGCGCTGGGCGTAGTGGCGCTGCTGGTACGGGCCGTGCTCGTCACACTCGTGATGCTGCTTTCGGTCAGACTGTTCGCCGACGTGCTGTGCGTGGTGGTGCTGGTGGTACTGGTCGTGCTCATCACTCGTTCTGCTCTCGCTCATGCTCCTCGCCAACGCGCTAGGCGTAGCGTTGCTACTGGTACCTATCGTGTTGATCATACTCGCGACGCTGCTTTCGGTCGTACTGCTCGCCGACGTGCTGGGCGTAGTGGTGCTGCTGGTCTCGGTCTCGGTCGTGGTCGTCACCCTCGTGGCGCTGCTCTCGGTCATACTGCTTGCCGACGTGCTGGGCGGAGTGGTGCTGCTGGTAGCGATCACACTCGTCATGCTCGCGGTGCTGCTTTCAGTCGTAGTACTCACCGACGTGCTGGGCGTAGTGTTGCCGCTGGTACCGGTCGTACTCGTCATACTCGTGGTGGTGCTCTCGGTCGAACTGTTATCCGTCGTGCTGGGCGTATTAGTGCTGCTGGTATCCGTCGTACTCGTCAGACTCGTGGTGCTGCTCTCGCTTGTATTACTCTCCGATGTGCTGGGCGCAGGGTTGCTGCTGGTGGCGTTCGTGCTCGTGATTCTCGTGGTCCTGCTCTCGATCATACTGTCCGCCGACGTGATGGGCGTAAGAGTGCCGCTGGTACTGATCGTACCCGTCTTACTCGTGGTGCTGCTTTCAGTCGTAGTACTGTCCAACGTGCTTGGCGTAATGATGCTGCTGGTGCCTGTCGCACTAGCCATACTCGTGGTGCTGCTATCGGTCGTACTGCTTGCCGACGTGCTTGGCGTAGTGGTGCCGCTGGTGCAGGTCTTACTCGTCACACTTGTGGTGCTGCTCTCGGTCGTACTGCTCGCCAAAGCGCTGGGCGTAGTGGTGCCGCTGGTACTGGCCTTACTCGTCATACCCGTGGTGCTGCTCTCAGTCGTACTGCTCGCCGACGTACTGGGCGTAGTGGTGACGCTGGTACTGGTCGTACTCGTCATACTCGTGGTGCTGCTCTCGGTTGTACTGCTCGCCGCCGTGCTGGGCGTAGTGGGGCCACTGGTACTGGTCGCACTCGTCATCCTCGCGTTGCTGCTCTCGCTCGTACTGCTCGCCGACGTGCTGGGCGTAGGTGTGGCCGCTGGTACTCTTGTCTTACTCGCATACACGCTGTGCTGCTCTCAGCATTCGTACTGCGTCGCCGACGTGCTGGGCGTAGTGGTGAACGCAGGTTACTGGTCGTACACTCCGTCATACTCGTTGCTGCTCTCTCTTGTACTGCTCGCCGACGTGCTGGGCGTAGTGGTGCGCCACTGGTACAAGGTCGCTCTCGTCATACTCGCGTTTTGCTGCTCTCGCTCGTACTGCTCACCGACGTGCTGGGCGTAGTGGTGCCGCTGGTACCAGTCGCACCTGTCATACTCGTGGTGCTGCTCTCGGTTGGACTGCTCGCCGATGTGCTGGGCGAAGTGGTGCCGCTGGTACAGGTCGCACTCGTCATACTCGTGGTGCTGCTCTCGATTGTATTGCGCGCCGACGTGCTGGGCATAATGGTGCCGCTGATACATCATCTCGCTCCTCACATCATCATCATCATCATCATCATCATCCTCATCATCACATCATCATCATCATCTCATCATCGTTCATTCATCATCATCATCATCATCATCAATAATCACATCATCATCATCATCCATCTTCCGCCTCCTCCGCCTCCTCCCCTCCTCCGTCCTCCTCACTCCTCTCCTCCTCCTCCTCCTCCTCCTCCTCCGCCTCCTCCTCCTCCTCCTCATCCTCCTCCTCCCTGCCTACCTCCTCCTCCTCCTCCTCCTCCTCCTCCTCCTCCTCCTCCTCCTCCCCGTCCCCCTCCCCCTCCCCTTCCTCCTCCCCCTCCTCCTCCTCATCATCTTCCTCCTCCTCATCATCCTCCTCCTTGTCCTCCTCATTGTCCTCCTCCTTGTCCTCCTCATTGTCCTCCTCCTTGTCCTCCTCATTGTCCTCCTCATTGTCCTCCTCATTGTCATCCTCGTTGTCCTCCTCATTGTCCTCCTCATTGTCCTCCTCATTTTCCCGTCCTCCTCCTCCTCTCCTCCTTCTCCTCCCCTCCTCCTCCCCCTCCCCTCCCTCCCCTCCTCCCTCCTCCCCCTCGCTCCTCCTCCTCCTCCTCCTCCTCTCTCCTCCTCCTCCTCCTCCTCCTCCTCCTCCTCAGAGCGCAGCTCAGCATCAGCATCAGCTCAACATCACATCAGCAGCAGCAATCATCATCATCATGCATCATCACTCATCACCATCATCATCATCATCATCATCACATCATCATCATCCCATCATCAGCCATCATTCATCATTCATTCACATCATCATCCTCATCATCATCATCAATCATCATCATCATCATTCATCATCATCATCATCATCCCACATCATCATCATCATCACATCATCATCATCATCATCATCTCTCATCATCCATCATCATCATCAGCAGCATCACAATCATCTCATCATCATCCTCATCATCATCATCATCTCAGCATCATCAGCATCAGCATTGTCATCATCATCATCATCATCATCAGCATCATCATCATTATCATCAGCATCATCATCATCATCATCATCATCATCATCATCATCATCATCATCATCATCATCATCATCATCATCATCATCATCATCATCATCATCATCATCATCCGTCTTCTCCCCCTCCTGGGGCTCCTCGCCCAGCAGAACGTACCATTAGAAAGCTCACCCCATCTGCACAGAAATGCAACCGACAACCGATGCAGAAGCAACGCTATGCTTGTATGTGAGATCGCCGCATTGCAAGCGATGTCTCCGAGGCCCACTTGTGAGCCTGCCATGGAAGAGACCTCTCCTGGCAACAGTTGGCCCTACTACAAGAGAATACTGCACGGAGCGTTGTAGACGAGGGCCCGTCCATTTGTATGCGCGCTAGCCCGCACTCCTCACCATCTTCATCCTCCTCTTGCTGATCCTCCTCCGCCTCGCACCCATCTCTCGATTCTGATCCCCCCTCCCGCTCAAATGCCAGTAATATGGATGTTGCTCCTGCTACCCACGACAACTAAAGGGGACCCTTCGATTGCCGGAGATAGCATACAAATCATACTGCTCACCTGCCGACGAAGACTACGCGGACCTCCAGGAGCGGCTTGCCCCACAGGTCCCTGCTGCTCTCCACGTCGCATAACCGGTTGAACTCGGGAAGGACCGCGGCCGTGTAAGCGAGTCGTTCACCGCCCACCGTCTCAAACCGAAGATCGGCTGGTATCAAGTCCACGGCCGCGGCGATGCATTTTTTGATGGACTCGAACGACGGCGGCACCCGGACGTCCGACCACAAGAAATACTCGAACGGCTGAATCCGTCTAAAATTGCTGAGCTTCTGGTCCTGGATTCTCCTCGGAATGCGACTGCGTGATCTCATGATTCCAAGCGGAGTGGATGGCGTAATTGCCAGCGTGCCGCAAAAAGTAGAAGCCCAAGAATGCAAATCCCACGAGCCCTCTAGGCTTGGGTGGCTCAGACCGGTTCCTCTTCCGACACCCTTCTTCTCTTTTGAAAAGGAATTTCCTCTTACAGAACCCCACGCCAGAAGACCTCCCACCCCGCCTAGCGATACGTCTTGAGGGCCGCCTGGAGGCCTCCTGGGTTCTCTTCGGAGCCTACGAAGGGCTTCTTAGGAGCCAATCAAAGGCCTCTGGGAGGGCTCTCGGGGGCCTATTGAAAGCATCTATCTTCAAGACCCCTGGGGGCCTCTTGGGGCTGTTTTGGCGCCGCCGACGCTTGACATTATCGTGAGGCCCCATGGGGGCCTCTGGAGCCTGGGGCCGTCCTGGATCCCTTCTGGGCCCGTCTTGGAGCTCTCTTGGGGCACTCTTGAGGCCGTCTAACGCCTCAAGGCCCTTCGTGAGCGAAAAAGCGAGAAGGCGACCATCATGGGTTGTCTTATGGTATTTGAAAGACTTTGGCCTCTCAGGGGCCCTCTTAGGGCCTCCTTGAGCCGACCTGGAGGCTGCTTTGGCGTGCCGTTTACGGTCTTGCCTCCGCTTGTCGTTTCTTGTCCTATCTTCTCTGGTCTTGTGGTGTCTGGCCGTCTGGGGCCGTCTTGGAGTCCACCGCAGGCCAGCTTTATGGCCGCCCGTCGAATCGATGGGCCCGCTAGCCTTGTAAGTGGAAGCCCGCGCCGCGACATCTCCCACCCCGCCTGTGGACTGGATGTGGCTGGCAATCCGGCACGGTGGCCGCCACTGGCCTCCCGCGGAAATTAGCCTGGCGAAGGACCCAACCATATGCAGCTGTGAGTACCGCAATAGTGAACATCTCTTCTTCGGCGCGGCGCCGCCATGCCAACGCAGCCACTGGGAGCTTCGGTGGAGCTCCCTATGGGGCCACGAAGCGTGTAAGGGGTGTGCCGAAATGGGCGCGGCGCCGCCATGCCAACGCAGCCACTGGGGCCTTCGGTGGAGCTCCCTATGGGGCCACGAAGCGTGTAAGGGGTGTGCCGAAATGGGTGCGGCGCCGCCATGCCAACGCAGCCACTGGGGCCTTCGGTGGAGCTCCTATGGGGCAGCACGAGGCGTGTAAGGGGGGTGCCGAAATGGGTGCGGCGCCGCCATGCCAACGCAGCCACTGGGGCCTTCGGTGGAGCTCCCTATGGGGCCACGAACCGTGTGAGGGGTGTGCCAAATTGGGCGCGGCGCCGCCATGCGAACGCAGCCACTGGGGCCTTCGGTGGAGCTCCCTATGGGGCCACGAAACGTGTGAGGGGTGTGCCACATTCGGTGCGGCGCCACCATGCGAAGGCAGCCACTGGGGCCTTCGGTGGAGCTCCCTATGGGGCCACGAAACGTGTGAGGGGTGTGCCACATTCGGTGCGGCGCCACCATGCGAACGCAGCCACTGGGGCCTTCGGTGGAGCTCCCTATGGGGCCACGAAACGTGCGAGGGGTGTGCCAAATTGGGCGCGGCGCCGCCATGCGAACGCAGCCACTGGGCCTTCGGTGTAGCTCCCTATGGGGTGGTGAGGGTGTGCGAAAGGGGGGGTGGAACCGCATGCGAAGCGCAGCCACTGGGGCCTTCGGTGGAGCGCCCCCTATGGGGCCCACGAAAACGTGTAAGGGTTGTGGGTGTGCCAGAAAATGGGGGGGTGAGCCGCATGCGAGCGAGCCCACTGGGCCTTCTGTGGCGCTCCCTATGGGTGCCACGAACTTGTGAGGGTTAATGCCAAAATTGGGGGTGGGAACCCGCAATTCGAAACCAGCCACTGGGGCCCTTCGGTGGAGCTCCCTGTTAGACCACGAAGCGAAACGAGGGTGTGCCGAATTGACAGGGTGGAACCGCATGCGAGCGCAGCACGGGGCCTTCGGTGGAGCTCCCTATGGGTCCACGAACGTGTGAGGGGTGTGCCAGAATGGGTGGTGGAACCGCATGCTGGCGCAGCCACTGGGGCCTTCGGTGGAGCTCCCTATGGGGCCACGAAACGTGTGAGGGGGGTGCCAGAATGGAGGGTGGAACCGCATGCGGGCGCAGCCACTGGGGCCTTCGGTGGAGCTCCCTATGGGGCCACGAAACGTGTGAGGGGTGTGCCAGAACGGTGGGTGGAACCGCATGCGGGCGCAGCCACTGGGGCCTTCGGTGGAGCTCCCTATGGGGCCACGAAACGTGTGAGGGGTGTGCCAGAATGGAGGGTGGGACCGCATGCGGGCGCAGCCACTGGGGCCTTCGGTGGAGCTCCCTATGGGGCCACGAAACGTGTGAGGGGTGTGCCAGAATGGGGGGTGGAACCGCATGCGGGCGCAGCCACTGGGGCCTTCGGTGGAGCTCCCTATGGGGCCACGAAGCGTGTGAGGGGTGTTCCAGAATGGGGGGTGGAACCGCATGCGGGCGCAGCCACTGGGGCCTTCGGTGGAGCTCCCTATGGGGCCACGAAGCGTGTGAGGGGTGTGCCAGTATGGGGGGTGGAACCGCATGCGGGCGCAGCCACTGGGGACTTCGGTGGAGCTCCCTATGGGGCCACGAAACGTGTGAGGGGTGTGCCAGAATGGGGGTGGAACCGCATGCGGGCGCAGCCACTGGGGCCTTCGGTGGAGCTCCCTATGGGGCCACGAAACGTGTGAGGGGTGTGCCAGAATGGGGGGTGGAACCGCATGCGGGCGCAGCCACTGGGGCCTTCGGTGGAGCTCCCTATGGGGCCACGAAACGTGTGAGGGGTGTGCCAGAATGGGGGGTGGAACCGCATGCGGGCGCAGCCACTGGGGCCTTCGGTGGAGCTCCCTATGGGGCCACGAAACGTGTGAGGGGTGTGCCAGAATGGGGGGTGGAACCGCATGCGGGCGCAGCCACTGGGGCCTTCGGTGGAGCTCCCTATGGGGCCACGAAACGTGTGAGGGGTGTGCCAGAATGGGGGGTGGAACCGCATGCAGGCGCAGCCACTGGGGCCTTCGGTGGAGCTCCCTATGGGGCCACGAAACGTGTGAGGGGTGTGCCAGAATGGGGGGTGGAACCGCATGCGGGCGCAGCCACTGGGGCCTTCGGTGGAGCTCCCTATGGGGCCACGAACGTGTGAGGGGTGTGCCAGAATGGGGGGTGGAACCGCATGCGGGCGCAGCCACTGGGGCCTTCGGTGGAGCTCCCTATGGGGCCACGAAGCGTGTGAGGGGTGTGCCAGAATGGGTGTGGGAGGGGGAGGAGGGGGGAGGAGGGAGGGAGGAAGGAGGCGGGAACGCGGGGCACCGTCTCTTCAAAACGAGGACCCAACACCACACGATGGTTGGGAAAAAACAGACAGGTATGGGATGAGCTGGGCCGAGGCCTGAGGAACAGTGATGGGGGCGCTTCATTTTGAGGATTCGGGTGACCTCTTGCGACTCCTTTGAATGAGATGGGGCACTTTGGGAGCTCTGTTGGGGCCTCTTGGAGCCTTTGAAGACATCCTATGGCCGTCTGGGGGGCCTGTTTAGCGCCAGCGACGTCTGTCTTCGGACAAGTTTGGGGCCCTCTTGGGGCTCACACGGGCCTCTCCTGGGGTCCTCTTGGGAGCGCCTGAGGCCATCCTGGGCCCCTCCTGGTCCCGTCTTGATTCGGCGATCTCGGGCCCATCTGCAGGTCTCGAGAGCCCAGTGGAAGAGAAAAAGCGTGAATGGCAAGATCACTGAAAAAGATTCGTACAGTGTTTGACGGATTTGGGTTCTCGGGGACATCCTTGGGAGGCTCCATGGCCACCTCGGGCAGCCTTGTAGCTATCCAGAGGCCTCCTGGATGCAGGGTGGAGGCAATGTTGGACCATCTGAGTCCAGCGTGGAGACCATCGTGGAGGACATCTCGCGTATCTCGCCTTGTCTTGCCTCGCCGAGGCCAAGATGGGGGCGTGACGCGCCAGTTCCGTAGCCGCGGGCCGTACGTGGTAGCCCGCTTAGAGCGTCGAAGATGCCCAGACGGGAAGAGGGGCTCAAAGGTAGCCTCCGAGATGGTACAGTATAGAACAAGATGGTTCAAGGAGGCCTGCAGCGTCCCTCCAAGAGGCCTCAGGACGGCTCCAAGTAGCCACGGAGCCTTCCAGGGAGTCCCCCGATTTGCCAACATCCTGAAAAAAGATTGCCTGTTCTTTTCCAACTTGGGTCCTCATTTTGAGTAAAGCCCTGCTGCGCCTCCCATCCCAACTCTCCCGTTTCCTCCCCTCCTCCTCCTCGCTGCCTCGTCGCTGCCGCCTCCCGCCTCCCTTCTCGCTTTCTCTCCTCTCTCTCTCTCTCTCGCTCTCCATCTTGTTTTTTCTCTCTCTCTCTCTCTCTCTTTCTTTCTGTCGCTCTCTCTCTCTCTCTCTCTCTCTCTCACCAAAGTCTCATCTTAATCGCTTCATTTCTCTCTGTCCTCTGTCGTTCTCTCTCTCCTCTCTTTCTCTCTCTCTCTCTCTCCTCTTCTCTCTCTCTCTCTCTATATATATATATATATATATATATATCCCTATGCACATACATATATGTGAATATATATATATATATATATATATATATGTATATATATTAATGTATGTATCCGTTTCATCGCTTCCTCTTCGCTTCTTCCTCGTGTCACCTCCCTGGGCGCTGCCAACTGTTACCACTTTCGTGGTCTCTTGGGAGCTCTTGGGAGGTCCAGCGGAGTGAGGCCATACGCGGACCCAAGAATTCATTCCACCTCTGGGTGGTGCCAGCTGCGCAACTGTCACCACTTTCGTGAACATCCATGAATTCCAGCGGCATGACGCCCCACGCAGCTCCGAATAAGACCTCCCCTCCCTGGGCGCCGGCAACCGTGCAACTGTCACCACTTCCGTGGGCTCCTGGGAGATCCAGCGGAGTGACGCCCTGAGCAGGGCAAAAAACAAACCTCGTCTCCTGTGCACTGCCATGTGCGAAACTGTCCCCATGTTCGTAAGCTCCTGGGAGGTCCAGCGGAGCGGTGTCACACGCAGATGCAAATGAGACATCCACTCCCGGGCTGCTGCCACGTGCGCAACTGTCGCCACCTTCGTGCGCTCCTGGAAGTCCGGCCGGGTCGTGTCCTGCGCAAGTCCGAATCGGACCTCGCTTCCCTGGCTGGGCGATGCCAACTGCGTAACTGCCGCCGCATTCGTGAGCTCCTGGGAGATCCACTGGGATGGTGTCATACGCAGATCATTGCAGCATCGCCTCTCTGCGACTGCGACTGCGACTCCGACTGCGACCCGCATTGCGCACCCTGTATGTGCCGCGGTCTGGGGCCGAAGCTCTGAGGGCGCCGCCAACTGCGCGGCCGGCGCCCCCGGAGTGTCCACCCAAGCTGTGCCCTACGCAGAGTCGAAGGAGACCTCCCCTCCGTCGCTACCTTCGTGGGCTCCTGGAAGGTCCGGCGGGCTGACACCCCGCGCAGATACGAGTCGAAGAAGACTTTCCTCCCTGGGCGCTGACATCTGCGCAATCGTCGCCGCCTTCGTGAGGTCCTGGCCTTGGAATCTCGTTCCCGTGCAGGCCCGAACGATTGCGGTGAGGGCATTGGACAAGCAACCACTGGAGAAGGAACCCAGGATCTGGAAGCCCGCAGCACATCAACTGGGGCATGGCCATGGAAATCGCTGCCGCCCTCATCAGACAAGGAATCCTCCAGGGTCTGAAGCCCCTTGGGCAAACTCCTACACGAACGCCCCAACGATGACTCCCCTGACTATGCGCTGCCAGCTGCGCAGCTGTCGCCACTTTCGCGAGCTCCTGGGAGGTTCAACGGAGTGACACCTCACGCGCGAAACTGCCTTTCGTTCGGTTACGATTCACATAGCTTCCCTGGGGAGCCTGGAGCACAGGGCGCCCCAGGAAGCTCGCAGGAGGAGTATAACAGCGCACCGCTTCAAGCTTCCATCCGTCTTGGATGGCTGAGCCCATCGGTGTTGCCACTTGGTTCATGTGGACAGGGTACGTCCCTGGATAATTGCCTTCCCCCCCGCTCGCGCCTCATAGGCCCCTGGGCGTCAAGATGGCCCCAGGATCGCCGCAGAGAGCCCAAAAGGGACCGTCAAGGCCCCAAGACGGCCCGCAGAGCGTCTCATCAAAAGGCAGCAAGAGGCGATTCGTCGGGCTCCAGAGCAGTGCTAATCCGCGACGCCTTTGTCATGAAAGGGACTGCCAAGCTAAGATATTTGAATGATGACTTGAATTTTGGTAGCATCCTGAGGAGGCTGTTGGGCCAAGATGTCCACCGTTCTCAAGATAGCATGCTAGATGGCGCAGAATGTTCCAGGTTGACTCGAGCTCAAGCGTGCATCCAAGTCCCCGAGACAACCCAGGCTCCAATTGGTCACGGAGCTTCCCAAGGACACCCCCCAAGATGCCCAAATCCTTCAAATGATCCAAAAGTGCTTCAACGCTTGATCGCCTCATCGCCTGTTTGGTTATGGTGGGCTTCTGCAGCAGCAAGATGGCTCCAAAACCACCCAGGAGAGCCCCAGCAGAGACAGGCAAGAAAGGCTCCAACACGACCCCCAGAGCGCCTCAGAGCGCCCCAAGAGTGTCCCAAGAGCCCCAGGAGGCGATGTTCGGTACTCCAAAGGGTCAGTGCTCGCTTGATCCGCACCTAGTGATCGATGTCCTCCAAGACAGCACCAAGAAGACCCCCAAGGCCTGTGAGAGGGGTCCGAGAGGGCCCAAAGGCCTCCGAAACGACCTCAAGAACGTCCAAGGAGGGCCCCAAGAAGGCTGCACGAGGCCTACAGATCGAAATATCCGCGACCACCGTTGTGGTTAACTCCTGGCTCTGCCTGGGCTGATCCCGAGCTTTAGTTGTTTTGTGTGGGGGGAGAGGGGAAGGATGAGGCGAACAGGGAAAGGCGCAACAAACAGACCGTCGACCCCATCGTCACTCTGCGCGGGAGTCTGGCGCGGAACAGCTAGAGAGAAGAATGGAATAATCCGTAAAACGTATCAGCGCCAGGAGGAAGACGGAGAAGAATGACGACGACGAAGATGACGACTGCGACGAGAGAGGGAGGGAAAGACAGAAAACCAGCGCGCAACCACTGGACAAACTACCCTCACGTGCAACGCAGGCACCGCAGGAAATGGTTGAACCCGAGCTTGGGTTTGAGGCTCCCCCCCTATGTCCACTGCATGCTCCTACGCTTCCCTGATCAGGGAGAACTCCCCCAGGCATCGTTTCTGGATGGGCTGGTTGCGATACGCGAAGCGTCAACGATATTTCTCCCTGCGAGATTGAATGCATCCGCGCAACACGGCATCTTCCAAACGGACAGGCACCAAGTCGCTGCCCTGAGTCAATCTACTGCTCTGGTACGCTCGCACTGGCGATCTCCCGCGGCGCGACGGTGCCCTCGGTGCGGCGGACCCCGCGGCGGGATCCAGCGGGGCAGGCGTCAGAACCACCCCCGGGGACCTGCCCCGACGGCGCCTCTTGGGACTATAGCTGCTCTGAGGTCGGGGGCTCAAGGACACAGAGCGCAACGTGCTTCTCCAAGCATTGCGCAGCCCTGCTGATAGTGACCTGCGCGGCTCTCCTGGATCTTCTGAGCTGCCTGCCAGAACAGCTACCAATTGGTGAGCCATGTGCTGCAGTGCTCGTGTTTCACTCCTGTACGGTGCAAGAAGAGATGTGCCCGAAGAGAAATTCTTTATTCTCTTGCACAGGGTGTCTAGAGCTCCGACCACTTTATTTCGGCACCGCACCCCCCCCCCCATCATAATCACCATCATCATCATCAGCATCATCATCCACATCATCATCATCATGCGCCCCTCCGTCTCAGCGCCCTCCCGCGGCTCCAGCGCCCGCCCAGTGCCCCCTCCGCCCCGACCACTTTATTTCGGCACCGCACCCCCCCCCGCTCCGCCCCCTCCCCCGCGCCGTCTCAGCGCCCCCCCGCGGCTCCAGCGCCCGCCCAGTGCCCCCTCCGCCTCGACCACTTTATTTCGGCACCGCACCCCCCCCCGCTCCGCCCCCTCCCCCGCGCCGTCTCAGCGCCCCCCCGCGGCTCCAGCGCCCGCCCAGTGCCTCCTCCGCCCCGACCACTTTATTTCGGCACCGCACCCCCCCTCCCCGCTCCGCCCCCTCCCCCGCGCCGTCGCGGCTCCAGCGCCCGCCCAGTGCCCCCTCCGCCACGACCACTTTATTTCGGCACCGCACCCCCCCTCCCCGCTCCGCCCCCTCCCCCGCGCCGTCTCAGCGCCCCCGCGCGGCTCCAGCGCCCGCCCAGTGCCCCCTCCGCCACGTCCACTTTATTTCGGCACCGCACCCCCCCTCCCCGCTCCGCCCCCTCCCCCGCGCCGTCTCAGCGCCCCCGCGCGGCTCCAGCGCCCGCCCAGTGCCCCCTCCGCCACGACCACTTTATTTCGGCACCGCACCCCCCCTCCCCGCTCCGCCCCCTCCCCCGCGCCGTCTCAGCGCCCCCGCGCGGCTCCAGCGCCCGCCCAGCGCCCCCTCCGCCCCGACCATTTTATTTCGGCAAGGAACCGCATCCAGCCCCCCACCCGCCCCCTCCCCCGCGCCGTCACCCTCCAGCGCCACCCCCGGCGCTCTATCGCCCGCCCAGTGCCCCCAATACGCCCCCGACCAATTTATTTCGCCCCGCAAAACCCCCCCCCCCCCGCACCGCCCCCTCCCGCCGCGCCGTCTCGAGCGCCCCCCCCCCCACCACCCCCCGCGGCTTCCAGCGCCCGCCCAGTGCCCCCCTCCCCCCGGCCACTTTATTTTCGCACCGCATCCCCCCTCCGCCCCGCCATTTTTTCGGCACCTGCACCCCCCCACCGCTCCGCCCCCCTCCCCCGCGGCCGTCTCAGCGCCCCCCCGCGGCTCCAGCGCCCGCCCAGCGCCCCCTCCGCCCCGACCATTTTATTTCGGCACCGCACCCCCCTCCCCGCTCCGCCCCCTCCCCTGCGCCGTCTCAGCGCCCCCCCCGCGGCTCCAGCGCCCGCCCCAGCGCCCCTCCCGCCCCGATCACTTTCTTTCGGCACCGAGCACCTCCCCCCCTACTGTCTGCCCCCTACCCCGCCTCGCGCCGTCTCAGCGCCGCCCCCCGCGGCTCCAGCGCCCGCCCAGTGCCCCCTCCGCCCCGGCCACTTTCTTTCGGCACCGCACACCCCCTCCCCGCTCCGCCCCCTCCCCCGCGCCGTCTCAGCGCCCCCCCGCGGCTCCAGCGCCCGCCCAGTGCCCCCTCCGCCCCGACCACTTTATTTCGGCACCGCACCCCCCCCCCCGCTCCGCCCCCTCCCCCGCGCCGTCTCAGCGCCCCCCCGCGGCTCCAGCGCCCGCCCAGTGCCCCCTCCGCCCCGACCACTTTATTTCGGCACCGCACCCCCCCCCCGCTCCGCCCCCTCCCCCGCGCCGTCTCAGCGCCCCCCGCGGCTCCAGCGCCCGCCCAGTGCCCCCTCCGCCCCGACCACTTTATTTCGGCACCGCACCCCCCCCCCGCTCCGCCCCCTCCCCCGCGCCGTCTCAGCGCCCCCCCCGCGGCTCCAGCGCCCGCCCAGTGCCCCCTCCGCCCCGACCATTTTATTTCGGCACCGCACCCCCCCTCCCCGCTCCGCCTCCTCCCCCGCGCCGTCTCAGCGCCCCCCCGCGTTTCCAGCGCCCGCCCAGTGCCCCCTCCGCCCCGACCGTCCTCTCCCCCCCCCCCCCATCCTCCTCCACATCCTCCTCCTCCCCCTTCCTTTTTGTGCAAGAGCCATGGCACACGTGCCACTTGTTTCGTGCATGACACACTTGAACAGCGCTAGCCCCGATTCATCGATGTACAGGCGGCTGTCCCTGGAGCACGCAGCTTTCACAATGTTCTCGATCTGGTAATTCTTCAATCTCGGTTTCCGCATACAGAACAGGAACTTGAGCACCCTGGCTGCGTTCTGGGCAGGTGCGCTCTCAATGAAAAATACATCATGTGGGGTAATCTCCACGTCATCGGGGAAATACTTGCCCCTAGTGGGGACCAATTCCACCGTCCCGAATTCACTGCTGTATGGATCGAGCCACTCGAATTTCAACGCCACGACTATTTCCGTGTGCACATGCACGTAAAATTCAGCTGCCTCGGACAGATCTCCGACAAGAGCAGCAAATCGCTCCATGTCCTGCCTCGAGACATGTTCCACGTGTGAAGTTTCAATGTGGTAATCAACATCAGACGCTCGGTTGCTGGTGCCTTTTGCCATCGAACCCTGCATGATCAAGCTTGTGCTTGGACCCCACACGCGAGTTGCTGTCAACTGAATGGCGTCGATCAGCTTCTGGGGTGGTTTTTGAAAGTCACAAAGGGTTTGGGCGAGCCCATTGAATTCGTCGGTTGACTCGATCGCGATCCTCACAAGCTCGACTTCCTGCTGCTTATGAAAATCTGCCATCGCCGGGCGCGGAGGCGATTGGTCGGAACGCGGCGCCTATCTGCTACACCTCTCGCCTGGCGCACCGCTGAGCAAGCCCGAAGTTGAACTTGAACCAAAACCTTTACAAATGCAGATGGCACTGCAGGTACAAACATGCTCATGGCATTGGACCGTCAAATCTAGGCTTCCACTCCAGCATCGTGACTGCGGGCCCGAAGTGTGCGCTGGAAACCTCACCTCAAGCTGGTCCACCACAAAACCTTCGTTGAACTTTCAACTTTCCCATTGACCGAATGCTGTAATGATGAAAATCGCAAGCTTCCCAACTGAGGGAAAGGGGACTCCACCACAGGAAGCACCAACCATGGGAAAGAAGGAAGAGGAGCGGGAGGGGAAGGGAGAAAGGACAAACGCTCTGTGTGGGCATCCCCGATGGCTCTGCCGGTCATTAATATTAAGCAAAACAGAAGCAACGGAGGAGGAGAAGAAGGAGAAGGAGGAGATGGAGATGGAGGAAGGACTGCAGAGAGAGAACAGGTTGGCGAGCTAAACGGCCGCAACCCCGGTAGATACAGATTCCCGATGCTCTGGAATCTTTCGTTGAATCGCGTGCAGTTGCACCGCATCCGACAAGTTAGCGTTGCGACTTCAGCTTCTAGAGTAGTAGCGTGGAACGAAAGCCATTTCAGGTGGAGCAGTGAGGCACGAATCCACTTCACCCCGTCAAACCGCAACCTCAAGCACCAACCGCACCGCGCCAAAGCAGCAAGCAAGGTCACCAGGAGTAGACTGGACCGCCCAGCCGCACTGGACATTCGGACTTGGAGCGATGACAGAGAATGACGGAAGCAGAAGGCAGGAAAGGAAGCCAAAAGTATACGTAAAGACCTACACACTATCATGTGGAACACGCGGAGGCCACGCGCTGGATACACATGCGAGGGACTGGTGTAGTCGGGCCATACGAGGGCCGAACGTTGTAAAGACGCGCGGCCACAAATGCATCCAGCTCTCGCCCAGACCTGCCGTGTCATGCGCCCGCTCAATTGAAGAAGAGGAATGAGAGGATGAGAATTGACTCCATGGAATATGCCCAGGCGCTCGTCTGTCGGCAATGCCGCCCGGATAGTATCCCCAGACCCAGCGACGCGAGATCGAAAAGTCGAAGCCCCTGTCTCTACAGCCTGTTACGTCAACCCCTCCTCCCTCCTCATCTCGGCGGCGAGCCTGGTGAGCAAGTGAGAAGGGGGGGCCTTCTCAGAAGGCTCGAAAGCCCCCCAGCATTCTGAGAAGTTTTCGAAGCCTTCCCCGAAGATACCAAAAACCTCTCAAAGGCGCGAGGGCTTCTGAGAAGTCCCGCCGCCATATGAGAAGGCCTTTTCCTTCTCACTTCCACCCCTCGCTCGCCGCCGAGTTACGTCAACCCCTCCTTCCTCCTCATCAATCTCCTCGCTACTCCTGATCCCCCATCAAGCTCCTCCTGCTCCTCCCTGCTCCTCATCGTCCCTCCAACCGACGCGCATGCTGCGGGCAGGTTAGGGTCGAAGCCGCAGCGCCCTTTGACCACCCCTCTTACCCCGAGCGACTCGGGGGGAACAGGTCGGAAAGAGCTCGTAGGTTGGGAGAAGAAGAGAAATACTGAACTTGACGTGTTCCGCCACGAAATCGTATGAAGGCTCGCTCGCTTCGTCAGCATCGGCCCAAACGCAAATGGAGCGGTGCACAGGAACTCTCCCTGTAAGAAGGGAAAAGACCAGACGGCGGGGATCACGGGAGGCACTGCCACTAAACCAGAGGGAGAGAAGGGGGGGGAACCTGCGGCGGCGGGCGGCGGGCTGGCGAGCGCGACGACGGGGGGCGACACGAGGACGGACTCCTTCTCCTGCAGGCTCCTCCGCCTCTGTCGCCGCCGCCTCCTCCTCCAGCTTCGCCTCCATATCCTCATCCGAATCCTCGATGATCGTCCTCTTCTCCTTATCTCCTCGTCGTCTCTAGAACTCTCCCGTCCACCCCTTCTTCGTTCCGAGTCCCCCGCCCTCACTCCCCCTCCAATCTTCCCTCATACTCCACCTTGTTCTGGTTTACAGATCATTCCACCCCCATGCCTCCTGCTCCTCCTGCTCCTCCTGCTCATGCTCCTCCTCCTGCCCCTCCTCCTCCTCCTCCCTCCTCCTCCTCCTCCTCCTCCACCTCCTCCTCCTCCTCCTCCTCCTCCTCCTCCTCCT